TGCAACAGAATTTCGCGTAGCTGCATCATCTCGGTCGCTGGAGATGGGGCTGGTGGCGGCGGCAGCGGCCTGGGAAAACGCCTACGGGAAGTGGCTGTGTCAGGCAGGGGGTGGAGAAGGAGGAAAAGAACGGACCGGGATGAGCGGGATGCTGCCGACCATGGAACCGGCTGAAGTGGCTGCTGCCCGATTTTGTGAAATTCCTCGTTGCTCCGAGATTCGCCGGATTGCGGGGGCAGTGGGGGTGGGGTAGGATCCATTTCGCGGTCACCGGGTCGGCGGCGGCAACAGCAGGCGGGAGCCGAGCGTCTCCCTATTTTTACTGAGAATGGCTGCTGCTGGACTAAATTTGAGATGGACGGCAGATTTTTTTTTGGGGGGGGAGGGGGTGGCATATTTGTGGGATTAAACTTTTTGAGGGATCTGCTAGCTGATGCTTAATTCCCCCAAACAAAAAAATTCTCCTCAAATATGGCTTTTGAGGCATCTGCTAGAGATGCTATGATGTACGACAATTTGTTCAACCAATAAAGCGTAGTTCCTTCTGGCAATATTTCCTATGTTGTGATGGCCAAGAAATGTCAGGTGCAATATTTTCCTTTCATCTTCTTAGAGCATCTTAGAACATCAGAAAATCTCTGTCGATTTTTGTGGTTCAGACTTTAGAGTTGTAGAGGACCTTCAAAATACATAAGAGCATGAGACATTGTAGTTAAGCCTTGAAAATGCATGTCTCATACTGGTTTGCTACTATTTGCAGATGTAAGTTTTGATAGATATATCCTTTACTCTTTGAAGATTATACTCGACCTGTTACAAAAGCCCTACCCTAGAAACAAGACTAGGTACATGTATTTTTGTGATGTCAAATAAGCTGCAATTGTTATGAATCAAAGAAACCCCTGTCTTTGATGGAGCACAACTTCGAAACCTTAACCTTGTTGGCATGTGCTGGGAAGCATGATTGTCAAGAGTGTTCAGACTGTAGACTTCTCATCATGTTTTCTTCTTGTTAGCCTATAATCAGTGCCTACGTGGCAATACGTTGGGTAAAATAGCTCTGAACTTGATTTGTACCAGAGAAAAATATGAATCACGGTTGACTTTTGCAAATGAGGTGAAAATGAAATTGCTTTCAGAAAATTGTAGATATAAAACCATTGTTGAGGTGATGGCTATTTCTTTTTTTAACATGAAGCACTAAGATGACTTTAAATTTTCAGCCTAGTTTGTTGTTTCACTGAAGATAAGTTGAGGGTATTCTCTACCTATGCCAAGTCATGTCTCCTGATGTTTCGAGTTTACAAGCCCTTTTTTCCTACTCTGCAGGCTGCAATTTACTTCAATAAAATACAATGTTTCTGCTTTGAGGAGCAAACACTTCTTCCAGGGGAGCAGATTGACATGCCGGTGAGTTTAATTTTGCACTCTATACAGTAATGATGGCTTTTCTAGTTGCCACCATTATTTCTGCACAAACAGAAAAACAACGTAAACAGTGAGATTCAGGGCACCTCACCTTTCGTTCCAAGGGCAAAAAAAAATATATATTCCAAGAACAATCCTATAAAAGAAAATTCCTAGATATCCTGTCATAAATCGAGGCAGAAAGAGAAGGGTCTACTCTACATTGCTTATTTTGGTTGGGACTTAACTTATTATAATAGTCTAGATACAAGTCTATTATTTCTAATGACAGGACCTGAAACTGTGTATGTTGAACTACTGTAGCATAACTCTGCTAGTACTCTCTTTTTTTCCTTGCAAATGGTAGCTCTGCTGCTTGTTGTAACATGCACCTGAAAACTTTCAGGTATTCTTCTACATTGACCCTGAGTTTGAGACGGACCCCAAAATGGACGGGGTGAACAACATAGTTCTTTCCTATACATTCTTTAAGGTGAAAGAGTAGGAAAGTTTGTAAGTGACCCGTAACATTAATTCTATTGAAACTGTTACGCAAATTGTGTTCCTAAAAATTCCTTGTCATGTAACACCAAGAGTAAAAGGTTAGGTTTTTCATGTAGTTATTAGTTCACATGGTTTGGTGGAAATTTTTGCAAATAATCTGCAAGGGTTGTTCCGATGCAGTCAAATTTGAGAAACAGTTTTGGGCTGATCTGAAGAATCGAGGAACGGGAATGAATGTATTGATGGGATCAGGGAACTTTATCACGTGTGTTTGGACCTAAATGATTAAAGTTTTTTTTCCTGGTAATCTACGTCTGAACCCCGGCTCAGATGCTCGCGATGAATGGAAAATTCAGGAAAAGTAGCAACAACAAAAATAATAACCAAAATCAGTATTCTTGTTGAAGTTATTACGTAGGACCGTACCTTTGCATTTCATCTCGATCAGCCAGGGCCAGAATTTTTACTAGAAGTAGAAGAGTTACACAAATTTTGCGAAATGATCACAAGGGTTTATGCAGTAAGAACATGCAAGCCTTTTTAGGTTGTATCCGAAGACATTGAGGGTTGATGTTCCAAATCTAAACACATCCTGATAAGATTTTGTCAGAATAAAATAACACATCCTGATAAGATTTTGACTTGACATTCTTCTCAAGTCCTGTACTATGTGGTGCCAACAAATACCATTGGTAAGTACTACTCCTTAAACAAATATAAGACGTGTCACTGAGTACGTAGCTCCCAGATGTAGTAGAAAAAAAATACTCTTAAATTTCCGATGTTTTTCGACATTAGCGTAGTGTCAAAAAGGATCTTACGTTATGGGACGGAGGGAGTATGTATCACCAGCTAGTGTACGTGCTGTGTGTGTCGCGACATGCATGGCTGCCTAGGAGGAGAGAAGACCACATGAAAAATCGATGGAATCTTATGGGACGGTACTGGTGATCTGGTGAACCACACCACAGGTGTTTCGGACGGTAGCCGGCAGCCGGCAGCACTGTGCAGTCGATTCGATTGGCCCCGCCCCCGCGGCTACGGGAGAAGAGACGAGGCCAGGGCTACCCTGCTGCTGCTGTCGCACGTTGAGTGGAGGCAGTGCGGGAGTACCTCTTTTTCTTGTACCGGCGCTACTGTTTGGCCGCGAGCCCGCGTCGCGCCAGGGAGCGAATCCGCCGTGCGGATCGCCTCGCCGTGGCCGTGGCCCGTGGCCCCTGGGCCTGGGCCTGGATACGGCGTCCGGGACCGGCGAGCGCCACCGAATCCACCCCCGTCCACGGAGGCTGCTGCGGCCTGCGAGCCCCGACGCCTCGTCGCTGACACCAGCATATGCTACGACACCCACGGCCCATGTCTGTTGGGAGGCGCCTCGGCCTCGCCTCGGCGGCTAGCGGCGGAGCACGGAGCGCGCCGGCTTTTGCAGCAGCACTGCATCAGTTCGGTTGCATGCCTGCCATCGTGTTGCTGCGCGGCGCAGGAGACAGTCGCTGCTCGCTGCGTACGGCGGCCGTGGCGGTGGCGACGTACGCACGTACGTACCAACTCATGCCGTACGGTGCGGCAGTCATCTTTACGCAGGTACTCGTTTGGATGATGCGTGCAGTGCAGTACAAGTGCTGAGGTGAGTTTGGCCAAGTTCGTGACGATGCGGATCCGATCCGGGTTGTCACGTTTCGACCCGTGTCCTATGATGATGTGAGTACTCCGGCTACAGATACTCTAAGGCCAACTCCACCGCGCGACCCTATCCTGCCCGCCTCCGTCCGTTTGGGGTAAAAGGAACAAAGGAGGCGGCCCAGCGCGCGGGCGCAAACGAACTTTTGTCCGTTTTGTGTCCGCTTTTGGGGTGAAACGGACACCACGCGGACGCGCGGGTCGTCTGCGCGTGTCCTCCCCTGGCCTGCCCGTCGATGGCACAGGACGGGCCTTTTTCTATCCGCCCCCTCCTCCCTCCGGCCGCATCCACTTCACTCTTCCACACTCTTCCCCTCTCTCCCCCTCGCCGCCGCCGGCCGCCCGCTGCCATTGCAGCCGTACACCTCGGACGCGCGCTTGCCCAGCCCCTCCCTCTCGTCGCCGCCGAGCTACCCAAGCACGGCCACCTTGTTTGCGCACCCGCCGGCCGGATTTGGGGCGGATCCGGTCGGTCTTGAGCTCGCCCGACTGTGGGAGGCCGGGCCGTGCCATGGACTGGCCGGGCACCTTGCCGGAAGGCCCTGGCAGGGCCGCAAGGCCACATGCAGGCAGTGGCTCGTCCTCTAGCCGCTCGGATCTGCACCGTCGGTGGTCCGCCGGCAGATACGCGAATGGCGGCCGGCCGGGCTCGGTGCTTGCCCAAAAGCTCGTCGGCGCACCGTTGCCCCTCATCAAGTGCAACCACTGCCCAAGGGTGGTCGTGCGCCGCGTGTCTACAACGCCGGAGCATCCCGAATGGGTGTTCATCAAGTGCTTAAACGATGGGGTATGTGCTCTTTTAGCTTTGGTGCATGTTTGTGCTCTTGGATTAGACTAATGGTGCTAACTTTAAGTTTTATTGTGTAGACCGGATGCAAGTTTTGGTATTGGGAAGAAGAGTGCATCGATATGTCGATAGAGCAAAATGTAGTGCATGTTCGTGCACTTTTAGCTAGCCTAGAGGCTTTAGATGAGACAAGTGCACTTGTTGCTAGATTAGAGTCTAGGCACGATACTACGTGCGAAGAAGCAACAAGGCACGATACTACGTGTGAGGAAGCAACGTCGACTTCTGGCTTGAAGAAGAAAGGAGGGGGCAACGTCGTGTCTCCTCCACAGATCAACAATGAGTGCATCGAAAAGGCGCTAACCCAACTCAATGGAGCAGTTACGGAAGTTGGGTATCTTCTCAAATGTATTCTTGTGGTTCTTGTTTTCTTTGGCCTTTCTTTACTAGTCAAAATGTGATGATGTATTGTCATGTATCGAAAATGAATGATAAAAAAAGTTGAAGGACTTGCAAAGAAATATACGCGGACAGGATGGGGCAAATGGATGCGGCCGCGCGCTGGGCGCACGGCCACCGCATCCCAGGACAAGCCCGAACACGACCCCAAACCCCTACCCAAACGGACAGAATCCAGACAAAACGGACGTCCGTTTGGGGTCGCGCGGTGGAGTTGGCCTAATCATAGCGACTATACTCACATCGGACACTCAAACACCCGTGTCCGGAGAGTGCATCTAGGTGCCTCATACTATAAATCTTAAATCCATACAAAAGCATGTAAAGAAAAAAAAATCTACCTACTAAGTAGATCAACTAGCGTCGGAGATGTCCACTACATTGACGGCAACCGCAGCTCCGGCTCCTGCGACTCCTCCGGCTCCTTCGTGGCGACCTCCACATCCATCTCCGCTTCAACCTCGTTGAAGAGGGTGTCGGTCGCTGACTATTCCTGCCGGATGAACCGCCGGTTGGCCTTCACATAGGCCTCATCCAGGATGAAATTCAGGATGTCCTGCTGCTCCGCCATCTCGTCCGCTTGGGCGATGACGAACCCCACCTTAGCCTGCTTCATGTTGAAGCCCGGAGCCGGAGCCGGCGCCAGCTCCCGCTCTGCCTTCTCGTCGTCCTCGGGATCCGTCACCTTCATCGGAGCCGGTTGCTGCTCCCCTCCCTCCTCCTCCGTCGAGTCCGAAGGCAGCCCGACAGGAATGCAGGGGGCATGCGCGACACGCCTCGCCCAGATCTCCTGCTCGATCTCGTACCGGCACTCCGGCGTGAGCATAACATAGGTGGTTATCTTCTTTCGGACCATGGCGAAGCTGGAGAGTGTGGGACGAGCGCTGGAGCGGGAGAGAGGGAGGTGGATGAGCGCGGGCTGGGCGACGCGAAGAGGAAGGAGGTGGATGGACTAGGGTTGAGGGACGCCGGCCGGCTTAAATAGCCGGATTTGGCCTCGCCGGACCGGCGCCACGCGGTGTTCACAACCCCCCTCCCCCCTCCCCCCACGCACCAACCGAAGGAGACGTCCACCAGATTGCCGGGTTTTCGGGCGATTTCGTATGGGACCCCATCATCAGTCAGACGTGACGGACGCGTCTGGGCGCCTTATATCCGACTCATATTTGGGTTGGATATGAGGGGTGCCAGTCAATCCGAACGTTTGAGACCCGTTTGAGAAGGCCATATGAATCAAATTTTCTTGACCGGTCTATCCGTCCGAGCGTTTAAAACGGGTTTGAGACGTGTGGCGGCTGCAGATGCTCTCATGTGATCTTCACTCGGCCGGTGTGGGCGTAGGTGGCCAGTCAAAGGCTTCAGACTTGGGCGTCTCCCGGTGCGATGCACCCAAGTGCCAGGTCTCTGTTCCGGACAGCGGCGGCCAGTGATGTGACACGTAAGCACGTCGGGACAAAGTAAACAGCCGGTGATGATGACGTGTCAACTTGAGAACGTCTCCTCGCTTTTGGCATGTGGTACACACGCAGAAAATTTTAGTTACTCGTCTTATCGTCCTCCTGGCATTTTTGCAGTTGTGTGCGTGTGTATGCCTCTATAATGTGTTTGCTAACTTTGTACTCCCTCTGTTCGGTATTACTTGTCGCAGAAATGGATGTATCTAGATGTATTTTAATTCTAGATACATCTATATCCGAGACAAGTAATTCCGAACGGAGGGAGTACTAAAGAAGCGACTCTTGTTTTAAGACCGAGGAAGTATAATACTTGCCTGGAGAAAATGTATACTTAATGTATAGCCTCCACTGTGGAACCGAACCTAAAGTTGGCATGACAAAAAAAAATTCCCAAACCTAGCTGTCGGAATTTATGTGGTTTCAAAATACAGCGAGTGGACAAGTTACATGGTATTGTTTTTCTTTACTTTTGATATTTTAAAATGAGTTTTGTTGAAATCTGACTTGATTTGGTAGGAGGCCAAGTATGCCATAACAATTGCATTTTAATTTTACTTAGAACATAACACTCGTATAAAGGGTTTATGGGAAGAAGTTATTTTTCGATAATCAAGTGATGAA